AAAAAAATTCAGAAAAACAATCAGTTTTTCGTAATATTAAGTAATTAAAATAATATATAAAAATTCAAAGATTGCTGTATATCAAATCTTATTACAATGGTTGCTTTTATTCTATCATTATGCTTCGCTTATCACTTGCTTTTGTAGAATATTTACAGCATATACTTATTAGATTGAATGATAATTAAAAAGTTATAATATTATATGAATTTTAATTCAGTTATGTGGTCTGTTTGAAGTATGAAACACTATAACAATGCCTTTATTGGCTTAAAATTATGATCTACTAAGAAATATTATCAAATGATGTTTAAATTAGGAACCGATATTCAAATTGTTGATTATTTAATTGATTCATTATACTTCGGAACATAAACATGTGAAAGTTAACATTAATAAATACTATATATTCGAATCTTGAATCACAACCATACGGAAGTGTATGCTATCATATAGCAGTTATCTATTGAAATGGGGCACTACGATCGGATAAGTGAACTTTTTCTATGAACTAATAATACATTCATCGCTTTCTATCGTCCGTTATTATGAATTTGCAAGCAGTTATAACTGATTTTGATTGTTGACATTTGCTTTTGAAAAGTCGACTAATTTTCGATATGTTATTCATTTTTATTGATTATAACTTCGCATCTTTCCCAAGGTATTTTTGTATTTCTATCTCTATTTCTATTTTTATTAAGTTTCTTATTAGAAAATTAATCAAATTACGGAATTCGTATACATATATGCTTTCCATTTTTTCTCTAAATATTTTTATGCATTGTTTATAGTGTAAATTAATCTTCGACCTATACATGTCGTCTTCTATTTCTTAATTTCTTTTAGTATGCGCTTTTGTTTGTTATGCAGAGCTCTAATGAGTGTGTTTTTATTAAATAAAATAAACACGAAACGAGTAGGCGAAATTCAACTCTGCATTTCTTTTACTAATTTGATAGAGCACGGATTTTGAATTTAAACCAATTACGGCTTCATCGGCTGCTGAAAAGCAAGAGTTGAGATTAGCAGATTGATTTCTACGAGTAGAATATAGATTGATCTGCTTCTATTTGGTCGACGGAAATTTCTAAGTGATAAATGGTGTTTAGATGATGCAATAGTATATACATTTAAAGGAAATCTCAATAGTACAAATTGTCATCTGCATACATGTCAAGCTATAACAAAACTGCCGACAACTATTGAGGAAAAATAGGATTACAAAAAACTTGTTAAATATACTGAAATAAGTCATCTGAACGTTTATTTGGTGGTGTTCCATTAAATATGAACAAAAGTGTTTGACTCGTTTTAAGAGAATTTAAAAATACATTCAAATTTTTTATTCCTTTACTTTTCAACAAAATCTTTTTGAAGTTTTTGTTTAATTTTTCATAATCAAACTAAGCATATTTATTGCTCTTTTTATCTTTGTCGAATATGAATATATAAAGTACACACGCTGAAGAATACTTTCTTATTAAAGATAGGAAACGTATCAGCATGAAATGAAGCTGCATTATTTTTTCATTATATTTAATTCAAGCACAATATCAAAATATGAATTCTATTCAATTGTAACTGGCTGCTGAAAAACAAAAGTTGAAATAAACACATTGGTTTATATTTATTAAAAATACACACCGACTGATTTTTCGTTGATACATCTTCGTATGATAACTGTATAAATTATATAAATGATGAATATGGTTTGAAAGTATTTAAAAGGTTCATGTTTGCTATTGTGTTCATTGTACCTAAAGTAAAATCATAAATATCGATGATTTATAAGTTTTGATGAATTGAAGCTAATCTTTTTGTTTTACAATACGGCTAAAGTTTCAGAACATGTAAAAACGATTTAGCATGACCTCATTCAACCGATCAATCTCAGAAAAATCTTTGAACTGTACTGCTGAAATAGATTATAAATGAGATGCATCTGAATAATTGCCATATCCTTAGTTTTCTATACTGAAAATCCAAATATGGTAAAATTTTCGATATTTGCATTGGTTAGCCTGACACTTAGCTCTTTTAGTTAATTCGAAAATGTTTCATCTAATTGACTGAGAAAAGAAAACGCTCCAATGTTGGTTACAAAATGAAACATCATACATATTCTTGTCAAGATAATGCTCCATAAGGCTTTGCTGAAATACATCATGTAGTTAAGTCGTCTCCTCTATTATTTATGATATCGTTTTGCAACGTCGGAATGTCTTATCTCAAGGACAATGCAGCATAAACATAATTCTACTTCGATTTTAAGGAATGAAACAAGATATATAAGTAATGTTAATTGATGGCTGCCAACAGACATGAAGCGCTATATTGAAATCTCTACATGAGAGCACATTAATAACTATCGATGAAGAATATTCGGATTATGTAGAAAAAAAAAGAAGCGCTTCCATCAGAAGAACAGATAGAGCTAGACATTCTACATACATTTACTAGTTGTTACGGTCGTCCTTCATGTTCTTTCTCGTTCTCATGAAAATTGCGCTCCGCGTTATCATACTGCATGCAATGTGCTTACATCATGCCTTATATGAAACGTACTAAACATAAAATCGCTCATTCTACTAAGATATGAAGTATATTGTTGTATTTTTTGGCGTACTAGCTCTGGTACCGTCATGCTTGTAATCAAAAATGTCGGCCCTACTGGAACTCTGAATTTCCACATTAATTAACTACTGTTTTGGTAGATTTTCTGAATATTACTCCAAATAATCATATCTTCTCGTTCTGCTTTAAACTTGATGCGATTACGACATGATACAGTAGCCCTAATGTAAGAATTTCTATTTTGATCGAGTTTGTCCGCTTGAAGAAACTAGATCAGATAAAATATCAAGACTTTTCCATTCACATATCTTTGTAAAGCATGCGGTTGTTTAGTAAATTTTCCAGGAATCGAAATTTGCAAAGTAAGCACTTACATCCGGCTCTTTTTCAAATGTTTCGATAATGTACCGGTCTTTGGAGAGAACGTTTTTTTGCCTTATGAAACCGTACATCAATTTTTTATAACTTTTCATGAGGAAGAATTACGTAGGTCAAAAACTTGCATGATAATATATTGTATAATGTCATCGATGATCCTCTCCGACTTTTTAAAAGAAGACAAAAATAGCATGAAAAATCATCATTTCTGAAGTTTTATTGTAAGTAAGGTAGCAAGATTCTTCAAAGATCTTGCTTTCTTTCAATATGTTTCTATAAGGTTATAAAAATCTATGCGTGGATAAGAGCTCTCAAGAGTCATATTATATGACCTGAAATATGAGTTGAGTGACGATGATTTTTTTTAGAATTTCATCTCATCTACCAAAATATATCGTATAGATTTTTGATCTGTATACTTTTTTATCTTCCATCATTTAATTTGTGTTTCCTTCTCAATAGATATAAAATGCTCGCTAATCAAAACTGCTGTGTACTATTGCTATTGAGTACGATAATATTCAATAGTTTGGGCTCCGTATCACGCATTTATAAAATTACTGTCGAAATGTCGGGACGCAAATATTTCTGCAGGGGAAACGCTCCGTTTTGTTTCATCTCAGCTGCCTGTCCAATAAATATGACCACAATTAGAACCGACAAACGTGGAGATGGCTCTTACTGTTGGATCGGATATAAGGCATATTATTGTTTCTAGTGGTACGTATCTTTCACAGGAGTGATTAAGATCAAAATAAAATATTATTCTAAAAAATATCATCCAATTCTGAAGTAACGTTTGAACGCTTCTATTACAGCATTAAAAAAATCTTTACTCTAGCATTTTCTCAAGGGGTCATCTTGTAAATAATAATGAATTATTGTTCATGGGATTTTGATAATCGCTCAAATCAGAACATATTGAAATCACCTTGATCACACGAGGCAAACAGAATAAAAGCAGCAGTATTCAGACTTCCGAAAAAGAAAATTTTGGAAATTTCGCAAATTTCAAGTACTTGTGTTCTAAATTGTTTAATACTTCACAAAATCATGTAATTTCGGTTTTCTGAAATCTGAACATACCTCCATAAAAGATGACGTCCAGTGAGCTACACCATCTAGGTCGCTCCGAAGCTTATTCTAGCACAAGCGATGGGAAAATGCCGCTAGTGCGGTTCTTGCGAGGCTTCAGTGTGGAACAAGATGTAATGTCCGCGCCAGAATGAAAGAGGGGTGAGTGTGAATCGAATAACTCCACAACTGCAATAGCTAACGACCTGTGGCCTTCAGCAATCGAAAGAGAAGACTGGGGCACGTCTTTTATTATAATATCATGTAAAGCAAAAACATTTTGAACAATGTCGTTTTCAAAAATCTTTCCAAACGATTCCGAAAAACAGTATCCCAATAAGATGAATTTTTGATTTTGGTAGTCACATTAGATAGAGCAACGTCCACTCTATACTTCTACATTAAATTCAAATGATTACTTTTTTGTTTTGTTTATTTAATTAATCTACATAAAGCTTCTCATACATTATAATGAGCAATATTGTTCTGATTTGAAAAAAATCATTATCATATAGTCCACAAGGCTATATTCGACAATGACATGCTCAACTAATGCGAGCACCTACTCGATGAATGGTCGTATATATTGATGTTTATAAATGTGCCTTAAGAAATTTCATCCAAAAAGTGAACATAAATAATACAGAATATTAGAAGGTAAAAGGTAACTCTTGAATTGTAGGGATCCTTCTAGATTTTCTATATACAGAAGTCACATACTTATGTACATATTGTAATTATATTTTTTACACCAAGATACATGATTGAATATGGTGACATATTCGTTTTCCATATCCCATGATTATATTAGCTGCTACGAATTATATGTATGTATACATACATATAAAGACATGTTTGTTATTTTATTTTGATTAGTTCGTTCTTGTGGAAAAATAGATGATGCAAATCCTATTATCATTCTTTCGATTGCACAAAAATCTTAAATAAACCAAAGACGAAAAGAAAAGCGTTCATCCATCACTATTTTCTTCATCATCTTCCGAGGAGACATTCGATTCATCATTCGAAACAGGATCTGTTAAATTGGGTTCGATATAGTTTTCAACAAACTGATCAACAGTTCTAAATTGATTCTCAATTTTTCGTGTATGTGCAATTGCCTTGGAAGAAGCATTGTAATCATAACCAGCAATAAATTCAGCAGCAAGATCATGTACATCGCTCATTCGAAAAACTGTATTACCTTTGCGTACATAATCTTTCATATTAGCCCAACATAACTCAATCAGTTTCTAACAACAATGCTTAATTGGCAGACGAACAATTTCAACATTTAATTGTCTTGCAACTTGGTCTATCTAAAACCAGCAATAATTAAACATAGCAAATGTGTGTTATTATTATAAGTTTACTTTATAACGTTTTAAAGGACGATTGGGAAGTGCAAGCTCAATAAGCTCCATTTTTGAGCACGAGTCGTCGAATGAAACGCCATGATCCAGTAAGCACTTTTTAATTTTTTTCCATTTTCCAGGATCGTTGTGCTGGTTTAGATTCATGTTCAAGTTCACAATGCCGAGGAACATTATCCACAATGAGCCAAATACATCGATATGGGCTTGTACAGGGTGGTAAATAATATTATTCCAGGGGGGTAACAGTATGATCTCGAATCGGAGATATCATGAATTTTATACCAAATGAAAGCCCGTGAAAAATGGGGTTTAGTGATAGTAAATAGTAAGACTTTGAAGAACTTTCGTGTACCAAATTTTTAAAAACAACGAAATTTTCTTTCAAAAACACGTTAAAAATCATTTTTCATACATTTTGAGACATTGAAAACGAACATTTTTTATGAAAACGAAAGAGAAATGATAACGATGATGATATATGACTATGACTCACACAATAAGATGGTTCTTTGGCGTTCTGTTCTTCTCTCCACGTGATACTAGTTATTTGAAAAATTTTTTCGTTCTCGGACTGTCTGAAAGTTATAGTCGAGTGAAATCTCAGTGTTTTTTCGTTTGTTATTTCAAATGGCTGGCGCTTATGATACCGAACAACAAAGAATGATTGATAGAATTAAATGCATTACTTTCCGAGAAGCTCGTGATGCTGGTGCAACATTTATAAATAGACAATGGATTGCCGACAAAATTCACCGTACGACTCGATTTGTTACAGAATGGTGGGAAAAATCGTGTGACCAATGTTTTGCTGATTATTCGAATGCTGGTCCTAAACTCAAGTTATCGAGAGCTGCTCAGGACATTATTCGTGAAGCAAGTGGTCACCAACGGAAAAGCGGTTCTGTCGTGGCGAAAGAGATTGCAAAGAAACAAAAAGAATATGTTACTCGACAAACAGTTAATAACTACCGTCGTAGGGAAGGATTAAAGCCTTTTCATGTTATTTCAAGACCGTTAAAATCTGAAACTCATATATCAGATCGATTATGGCTCTGTGATTGGTTGAAAGATTGGACTGAAGAAGATTTTCTTCATCTGGCACCATCAGATGAATTTTATGTTTGGACAGTTCGCAAACCAAATTATCAAAATGATAGGATTTGGGCAAAAAGTGTTGAAGATATTGAAGACGATGAAAGGTATCGCGAAATGGTTAAAAACCAAGCGTGTATCGGTATTTTTATCATTTTCACCGCGAAAAAAATGCATTGGGTGATTAAAGACAAAGGTGAATCTTGGACCGGTCAATATTTTCGTGACATTATTTTAATGCAACACGTATTTCCATTCCTCACCGACGAGGAAAACGTAATTGATCTGGATAATGTGATATTTGTTCACGATAAAGCACCGTGTATGCGAGCAAACATGACTCAACATCTGATTAGAGATAACAAAATCGAGTTTTGGGGCAATGATATTTGGCCTGGTAATTCGCCCGATCTCAATGCGGCGGAACATATTGGATCAATAATGAAAGATGAAGTTGAACAAAAAATGTTATCGGAAACTGGACATAATCGATATAGTGAAGACACACTTAAAAAGCACATTGCGGATGTTTTGACGGACATGGAAGAAAATACCGAATTGTTTGAAGCTCTTTTATGTTCGTATCCATCTCGACTTCGTGCAGTAAAGAGTGCTAATGGTCGTCATACTGATTATTGATTGTACTCAATAAATAATAAGAAAATAAACAGTTGTACAACATATAGTTTAGCCCCGAACTTTTTCGATGAACTGATTTTATAATATTTTATGTCGATAAAAATCGTAACGTTTGATAAATTAATACAAGAAAGTTCTTCAAAGTCTTACTATTTACTATCACTAAACCCCATTTTTCACGAGCTTTCATTTGGTATAAAATTCATGATATCTCCGATTCGAGATCATAGTGTTACCCCCCTGGAATAATATTATTTACCACCCTGTACATAAATGTCAAGCGATTTTAATGTTAGATGATCGAATGTTATTAAATTCCTACCATTATCCTCTCGAAGATGAAATGCCGCTTTTTCAATCCAATTAAGAAAATATTCAGCATTAACGGAATGAAGTTTCGACCAAGAAAATATATCAACAGATGGTAAATGAAAACCATTAATATTCATCATTGCTGAGATGGCGATGCGGTTGCCTGTAACAATATTTTTTATCTCTGATTATGTGGTTTGAATAAGATCATACCTTTTCCATCTGTCTACTGAATTCTTCCTCGACTCTCACTGTCAACCCAAATAAATTGTTTTACCTCACCAATGTTTAACCAACTTTTGTCGTGATAAAAAATAAGTGCATTTGCCGCTCTTAATTCATCGATTTTCCGGTAATATCTTGCACGCTGAGCAACAAACGAAACATGACCAAGTGGAATTTTGATTCTTTTTGTCGATTTGTAACTAAGTTTAATTCGATAAAGATTTCGACGCAGAGTTGTTTTAGATAGAATAGGAAAATCATCATGTGCAGCGTGTAATCTCTGAAGAAGGTCAGTTGTTGTGGGATAAATTTTTTCACTTAATAATAATTGGAATTGATATCTAATTTCACTATCAGCTTCTTCAAATAAGCGCACAGGTGCTCGACCCAATCTTTGTTTCGGAGATTGGGACTCTGGATTTGCATTTCTTATCAGTGCTAATCCCGAAGAAGAAGATCGTGCTTTTCGTCTTGATCGCCATCTGGTTTTTGAGAGTGAACGAAGACGATGTGGTTGAATTTCTTCCTTAGCAACTTGTAATGTTCTCATTTCATTCTTCAAGCGTAGCAAGGAAGCTTCTGAAATTCCTAGCATAGCTACAAGCCGAGCATTACAATTGTTAAGAAGAAACTGTTCTCCATTTTTTTCATTTTCAAAAATTTAAGAACACGAAAAACAACTTTCTTTAGTTCGAAAGAGAAATAAGTGCCTTGTGGCATTGTATGCAATAAGTGCAGTGAATGATATAGTAATGAATTAAGCAAATGGTACTATATGTGAAGGAATACAAATGTAATGTGATTCTCCGCAATGATTCGATATTCACAACAACCAATAAGTCAGAGATATGAATATCCGTTCGCATTAAGTGTACGTATGTGTATATAATTAAGTATATGGGTATATAATCAGGAGTATGTGTGTATAGTTAGTGAAGCTAATACAGATCCAATAGATTAATGCCCAACTTCTCCACCAAAAATGTTAGCTTTCTCTTTCATCCAAATCTCCTACCCACTAAATGTTAATAGGCCGGAAGGAATCAATAGAAAACTATGATATGTAATAGCTGGGTTAGTAGAGTTAGTACTCCTACCTTGTCTTGCAGGTTGATGTACTACGGAAGGATATAAGTTCAGATGATGAATATGACTTTTATTCAAGGGAAACGTGTCACCCAGATAACATAAAATACACAACTGACTGCTGGAGCAGACTTGTTCATATATGAACGAGAGAGAGACAAAGAGAAAAAAGAAAAAAAAGGAAAAATAATAATAATAATATGAACATATATGTATATGTCCAAGAAACACGAACCTCACATAGGTTACATAAAGGAGAACGAAAAGAAAAGAGAACGGTTACCGACAACTATGTAATATCTGTTGACGCTAACAAAAATCTAAAAGCTGAATAATCTGAAACAAAATAAAAAATTCTAAAAATAAAAAAGTTAGTACTGTTCGATCTATCGTGTTCAACATTGTAAAATTAAAAAGGAAAAGTTCTTTGAATAAATACTTACCGTTACGACTAAATTACGACTATACATAGTCGTATACTATGGTCGTGTACGACAGTCGTTTACGTGCAACGTATGCGACAATCGTATTTGAACGTATGGCATCGTATACGCTCACTGTATAGGACCATCGTTTGTAAACGTATTTCGTCGTATACAATCGTTTACGATCGTGCCTTATTGACTTGGGTGGACAAGAAGTTTGAATTCACAGAGCTCGTACTAAACAGAACCAGTTCGATAGAACTTGATATCAAGGTTGGGGTTGATAATGTAACTGATTCTGCGGCTGAGAATGTAAGTTGTGTCTAAAGCTGGCTTCCCACTGACATAGGTAGCAGAATGATGATTTGAACTGCAAATTAATCGAAAACAACGACTGGAAAAGAAATCTTAATCAAAGCAACGATATACACGACGATGATAGCCGAGGCAACTGCTGAAAGTGACTTCCCGGTTTCTACAAGGATCAGAAACGATCCTGAGGCCAAGACTTCATTTAAACGTCAATCTCTGACGAGGAACATGTGTATAGACAGAAAATACTTCCAAAAGTTTCAGTAGACACCAATATCTACTTTCACAGGGATAACAGATCTTCGAGTTCGGTTTGAACAGGATCAACGGTATAAAAAAGCGCACTATTGTTTGTGAACCCTTCATGTTTTACCTATCCTGTGCAACGAGAGGAAGAAAAATAAATAAAGCTGTGATATAATGCACATTTTTCCAACCATCGATTAACTTTATTTTTCTTCTTTATTGAAGCTGTCTGATCGATAAGTGATAGAACAAGAAAAAAAATGATAATGCTTTTGTGGGAAAGATACCCAGTGTGTCTCAATAATATATGATCATGCTTTATCCCACGTATACGGTTGAATGCATGCAAGCCAAACATTTTTTCGATATGTACATAAGCAAAACAATGCTTTCATTTTCGTTATTAAACAACGTCGATACATTACCAACATATTATACTCGTCGTCCCAAAAATTACCAATCAATACAAGAAGCAAATGTGAGTCTTCTGAAATTGCAGCATCTTTCTAAAGCCGTTTTACTCTATCAGTATGCAGAAGATTTTTCTCTCTTTAAGTAATACCACTAACGTGATAAAGCTCCCTTTACATTCATATTAAACCCATGCATAGTGGACAATTAGATTAGAATAATCATCAAAGACATCGTTCTCTTGCAGAAATTCGCGCGAAGCTTCTAATTTTAGTGGATTTCCCATATAGAAAGTTAGTTTTGAAGTAAAATCGTACATCAAATTTCTATCTAAACTTGTCTCAACAGTAAAGCATTGCTATGATTTGCTCATGCATCAAGTTTAAACATCGACGAAGTTAGTATCAGATGCAACTTATTGTTGCTCTGAAAATAATAAAGGAGGCTTGAAGAAACATTCAGATTTCTTAAAAGTTCTGTCTTTTACCCGATAGCAGAAACCCTGAAAAAAGGCTCGGGACAAGGAAAAAATCTTTTGTTGAGAGATCTAGAACTATTTTTTCTTGCAAGGAGCCCTTTTCAGGAGTTTTTCTTTAAGGTAAAACTCAGAACCTGTTAGAGGTCTAAAAGGTTTCGCAAATCTCTTATTTTCAGAGTTCCCTATTATCGTCCAGAGAGCGTTTCACATGTTCTTATTTGTGTTCTACGTAGCACTTGGCATGCTCTATCAAACGGTGAGAATAAGATTTATCTTATGTCCTACCGGTTCTCCTAAATCGCAAAATAATGTGTTGTCCCTTCAAGCTATAGAGAACTTCGGAGATATTCCCAGAAATTATTCGTCACGACTGTTCCTGTATCTTTTTCTTGGTGGTACTAAAAAGACCAGATACAATTATCCTTCGACCACACACGAGGAAACCTGTAGCAGTTGCTGGTTAAATGAGAGCAGGAACTCCTACATGGGTTCTACATGTTTCATCGAGTAAAATCCATTTCTTTCGACTTCAGAACAAATCCTTTGTGATATCATCAATCGGTTAAGCTCAGCTCAGAGAACGGAGAAACTGTCTCATATATGAGTACTCTTAGTACGTCAAGATCCATATATTCGGGGTACCCTTAGGACCTTGAGTTCTAAAATATTAGAGAAAGCCTGAGGGCGTTCAGTCCAATATATTAGAAGTACCCTTACCACCTCAAGTGCTATATATTGGGGGTACCCTTAGGACCTTAAGTCCGATATATTAGGGGCACCCTTAAGGCCTTAAGTCCTATATATTAGAGATGTCCTTAATACCTCAATTGCTATATATTACGCGTACCCGTAGTACCGCAAGCGCAATATATTAGGGGTACCCTTAGTACCTCAAGTACTATTTATTACTAATATATAGCACTTGAGGTACTAAGGGTTCCCCTAATATATAGGAATTAAGGCCCTAACGGTACCCCTGATATATAGCACTTGAGTTACTAAGGGTACCCACAATATATAGGACTTAAGGTCCTAAGAATACTCCTAATATGTAATACTTGAAGTTCTAATGGTACCCTTAATATATAGGGCTTACGGTCCTAAGGGTACCCCCAATATGTAGCACTTGAGGTACTAAGAGTACTCGTATATGAGATATTTTATCAGTTCTCGGAGCTGAGCTGAAGTGTTGGAACAGTTCAGTTCAGTTCGGAAGAACTGTTCGAACAGTTCAGTTTAGTTTGGAGGAACTGTTCGAACAGTTCACCAGTTCGAAACTATTTCCGAATTGTCATGGTCCTAGTTATGATCCTTCGACAGAGCATTTTGCTAACGTCGTATGCATTAAATTTCATCATTCTTGAACCTTGGATCGCTGACAAATGAGTATTTGAAAATATGAATGCTATAGATCGTATATATCCATAAAACTGTAACTTTTTAAGAAAACCTGTATTTCAAGGATGGAATGTCTAAAAATGATAAAACTTTGAATATGAGTGATTCAAAGCAGACCCTTCATGTTGAAAAATATTTTGCGTCTAGGTTCGAATTACAATTGTACTCGAAACCTGACGCCATATAGAAGAAAAAACGCTAAGAACTAGAAATTTCAGCCAAATCTAAACGACAGCACGAACCCTTTGGCAATTATTCTATTGTAATGAGTTTCTACACATTCGCGCAATATGAATGTAAACAGAGCGGATCACTCAGGAGTGTTCCCTCGTATGCGTATGTAGGATTATTTTTGAATCATAGTAATGTGTTCCCTATCCATAAAAATCTTGGTAAGTTCTGTATGAAATGAATATCAGCCATTCAGTATTATGATGCAGCTCTTCTCAGCTAGCGCTCTTAGTAAGAATTGTCATTATGCTTTATCAGCTTCAACGTAGAAAAAACTGTTTAGAATTCTAATCATTGATCATTGAAGGAAGTTTGGCCTAGCTAGAAATTATGCATGATGGTCTACAGAAAAAATTATTCGAGAAGATTTGAATGGAAGTATTCACTTGAACCGGATTGTGGAGAAGGATATGCTTAGGACATTGCCTTCATGGTAAATAGTTCTAATTGGATGATACTTATGTTTGTGATATCCACAGGTATGAAGCCGGTAGGTTTCGGAAATAACCCCCGCCTCCTAATACACCAGTGCCCAAATTCTACGATGAAGATAAAAATCTCAAAAGGTTCTTGAAAAAAAGGAAACGAATACAGAAGACTGACAAAAGGACGAGTTTTTTGGGATGCCTCTAGCTCCGAAATTCAGTTGTGTATTCTTCGACCTCATCCAACGATCATCAGTGAAAAGCTGTTTACTTGTAGTATGCCTCCATAGCATGCTCAGGAGCGGTCGAAAATAACGATGCTTCAGGATCAATAACCTTCCAGCTTTTCGCTCGATATCTCTTCGAGTTTTCATAATGTCAAACCATACGGACAAACTAAGGAAACATTTTTGTTCAGCTTTGAAAGGTGTACTTCGTGAGTGTAAGTAAATGTTAGTATTGATGAATTTTCGAAAATATTTCTGTTTTTCATCGTATTTTTGAAGTGTGCGAAAAATGCAAACAGCTTATTCTAGTC